GTTAACGCGTATTTCCCAAACCCGCGATACCCGCTCTCTTCGTCTTCGATCGTGCCCTTTTTGGAGGGTGCACTTTTCTTCCCTGCAGGCCGGGCCCTGGCAAGCGGCGGGGTGGCCGCGGACCGTCGGCCTGGCCAGCGGCAGCGCTGATCGGCGGCAACCCGACGCCAAGACGGACGGACAGGGGACCGACCACGACGATGACGACGACGACGACGTCGACGACGACGTCGACGACGACGACGGCGACGACGACGATCGGAAGCGAGAGCGAAAGAGAGAACGTCAGCAGGGCCACGCACGGCACGAAGTAGGCCACGAATGGCGACAGCAGGGACGCGAAGGAAATGCGTATGGGGCCACGAGGAGCGCGACCGACTTGGGGCCACGAAGAGCAGGTAATGCGAGGCCACATGAGGAAACGATGGGCCACTGCGGTCACGATTAGCAAGTGGGCCACGTATGACAGCGAAGGGGCCACGAAGGGCGACAGCGGGGCCACGAAGGGCATGCACATGGGGCCACGACGGGCGCGAACGAGCGGGGGCCACGAAGGGCATGCGTATATTGGGCCGCGGAGGGCAAGGACTGGGCCACTGAGGGCAGCAACGGGGCCACGAAGGGCAGCGAGGGGGCACAAAGGGCGACGACGGGGCCACGAAGGGCATGCATATGGGGCCACGGCGGGCCACGAAGGGCTGCAACAGGGCCACGAAGAGCAGCGAGGGGGCCACGAAGGGGTGTAACCCGGCCACGAAGGGCAGCGAGGAGGCCACGAGGGGTTGCGACGGGGCCACGAAGGGCAGCGCGGGGGCCACGAAGGGGTGCGAGGGGGCCACGAAGGGCAGCGAGGGGCCGCGAAGGGCTGCGACGGGGCCACGAAGGGCAGCGACGGGGCCACGAAGGGCTGCAACGGGTTCGCGAAGGGCAACGAGGGGGCCACGAAGGGCTGCAACGGGTTCACGAAGGGCAGCGAGGGGGCCACGAAGGCCTGCAAGGGGGCTACGACGTGCAGCGAGATCCCGATCCCTAAATACTTTATGAATGAGCGCGATTCCTGGGCGCCTGAGTGTCGGAAGCGCGGCGCTTGAGTAAATTGCGGGGAATTCCATCTCAAGGGCGCTATTCTTCAGCAAATTGCCAGCACATCTCCAGCGAGAGCGCGACTCCAGAGCGCCCAGAGATCGATTCCTTAGTACAGAATAAGGGAGTCCCAAGCGAGAGCGCGAATCCTGGATAACATGCGCGGAAGTCTCGGGCGGGAGCGGGGGTCCTGACTAAAATGTGAGGAAGTCTCAGGCGGGAGCCGTTGTTGTTGCTGTTGTTGTTGTAACCCGGGGGCCAGGGGAACATATTGAGCCTCAAGACTTCCCTTGCTAAAAAACAGGGTGCGAGCGCCGGGTGGGGCACTTCAAATCAAAAATTCAATGTGCACCGGAAGGGGGGATCAACAATCATTTTCTTCAGTTATGAGAGTTCAACACCAGCAACAACCAACAGCAACGCCAACAATACCAACAACAACATCATTCATTGCAAGACTGTTCGCCCTTATCTGCTCCAGTGTCAAATACCGCGTCTCGCCCAAAACCTCGATACCCGCCCTCTTCGTCTTCGATCGAACCCCTTTTGGGGGGTATACCTTTCTTCCCTGCAGGCCGGGCCCCGGCAAGCAGCGGGGCGGCCGCGGACCGTCGGCCTGGCCAGCGGCAGCGCTGATCAGCGGGGCGGCCGCGGACCGTCGACCCGACCCCAAGAGGGGCGGACAGGGGACCGACCACGACGATGACGACGACGACGACGACGACGACGTCGACGTCGACGACGACGGCGACGACGAGCGAAAGCGAGAGCGAGAGAGAACGACAGCAGGGCCACAAGGACACGAAGTAGGCCACGAAGGGCGACAGCGGGGACACGAAGGCAATGCGTATGGGGCCACGAAGAGCGCGAACGAGCGGGGGCCACGAATTGCAGATAATGCGGGGCCACAGAAGGCAACGATGGGGACACTGAGGGTAGCAGCTGGGCCACGTCGGACAGTGAGGGGGCCACAAACGGCGACAGCGGGGCCACGAAGGGCATGCACATGGGGCCACAACGGGCGCGAACGAGCGGAGGCCACGAAGGGCATACGTATACTGGGCCGCGGAAGGCAAGAACGGAGCCACTGGGGGCAGCAACGGGGCCACGAATGGCAGCGAGGGGGCCACAAACGGCGACAGCGGGGCCACGAAAGGCATGCATATGGGGCCACCACGGGCGCGAACGAGCGGGGGCAACGAAGGGCATACATGTATGGGGCCACGAAGGGCAGCGAGGGGGCCACGAGGGGATGCAACGGGGCCGCGAAGGGCAGCGAGGGGGCCACGAAGGGCTGCGAGGGGACACGAAGGGGTGCGAGGGGGCCACGAAGGGCAGCGAGGGGGCCGCGAAGGGCTGCGACGGGGCCACGAAGGGCAGCGATGGGGCCACGAAGGGCTGCAACGGGTTCGCGAAGGGCAGCGAGTGGCCACGAAGGGCTGCAACGGGGCTACGAAGGGTAGCGAGATCCCGATTTCTAAGTAATCTGTGAGTGAGCGCGACTCCTGGGTGCCTGAGTGTCGGGAGCGCGGCGCTTGAGTAAATTGCGGGAAATTCCATCGCAAGGGCGCTATTCTTCAGCAAATTGTAAGCACATCTCCAGCGAGAGCGCGACTCCAGAGCGCCCAGAGATCGATTCCTTAATACAGAATAAGGAAGTCCCAAGCGAGAGCGCGATTCCTGAATCACATGCGCGGAAGTCTCAGGCGGGAGCGGGGGTCCTGACTAAAGTGTGTGGAAGTCTCAGGCGGGAGCTGCTGTTATTGAAAATCGGGGGCCAGGGGCCCAGTTTGAGCCTCAAGACTTCCCTGCTAAAAAACAGGGTGCGAGCGTCGAGGGGCACATTTTGATTGAGAAGACAATATGCACCGGTGGGGGGGATCAACAAGAATTATTCTTCAGAAATGAAAATTCAACAAGAACAACTCAACAAACATAATCCTCACCACGGATCCCCACCTCAGCCACACAACCAGGGAAAATGAACGACCGTTCGGCCCCCTCACTCTGATCTCACACTTACTCAAGTTAGTCAAAAAATCACCAAAAATGGTCCCCAGACTATTGCTTGACAGATTCTGAATCTTCCTCCTGTGCAGGGAAAGGCCCGATTTGAGCGTCGGGGCCCCCGCGGGGCGCGGCAGTGGCCGTGCTCGGACCTGCTGCGAGGGCGGCAGCCGCCCCTCCTGGAGCACCTGGAAACGGGCCACGGGCCACGGGCAACGGTCTCCGCCCACTCCGAGTTTCTTCATCAGCGTCGGAGGGGCGTCACCCCCGCCGACAGCCCCACATCGACCCCCGTCGCGGGTAGCCACCGCGCGCCGAAGGCGCTACGACCCCAGCCGCGGCGAAGCGACGAGGCGAGGTTGACCCCCGTCGGGGGGGTACCCCCCCCACGCATATTCAGAAACCCAGAGTGCAGTGGAGGCCAGTCCACAAGAAACCTTCCACATTTTTGGCGTGGGAAAGTCGCGCTCTCCATCGCAGAACCATCGAAACCCAAGAAACTCCGGGGCACCCTGGAGGCAAGCAGGGTGCTTCCTGGCATGGGTCTCCAGTGTACGTGGCGCCATGGAGGCGCAGCGGAGGGGTCGCCGAGGCGCCTGACACAGTTCCAGGGCAGAACAGAACAGAGGCATCAGAAACTCTACAGAACGTGCATTGGCAAGTACAGGAATCTCGGAGACCTGGCGGGTCTGGAGGCTGCATCGGGCACCGCGGCCGCTTCAGAGCGAGCCGGAACGCCCTGCGAGAGTTCCATACCGCTCTGGAGAGAATTATCTTCTTCATCCTAGGCCTACCTGACCAGGGGTCGGTGGATCGCGCCGGATCACAAACGCATCAGTGATTGATCGGCCGGCGACGTCGGGCTTCAGAAAACCTGGATCCAGGTCGCACCTCTCAGTTCGGTTCGTCGCATCTCTCGGGTTGATTGGTCCCACCATCGATCGGGGAGGACTGGACGAACGAAGTAGAGTCGACGGCAACAGCGAGCCCAGAACTGCAAGGAACGACGCGCGTCACGCCAGATAACGCAACCTTGGCAAGAAGAACATTTGACGGTCGCAGGGCCCATTGAATCCCCAGTGAGCCAAAACAACAAGCGGAAAACCGCAAGGACCGCTTCCCTCATAACACCGGTCCTTCTTCTCTGACTTCTGATGTCTTCATTACTTCCACAAAAGGTCCTTGGTCTTTCATCTGGACTTGTTTTTGCTGACGGTCCCCAGCCCCGCAACACTGCCCTGGATATTGATCCCCCGCTCCGCCGCCTCCTCCCTCTCGCATCCCTGTCGTCGGCACCGCCGTCGCCTTCATCGTCCTCGCCTTCCCTGGGGTCCGGTACTGTGGCCCCGGGGGCCTCGTGGGGGCCTCTTGGGGGCGTGCTGGCGGGCTCGCGCGCCATCTTTGTGGGCAGGCTCGACCTGTGAGTTTGGATTGCCCCTCTTGGAGCCTCCCTGGGGGCCTCTGCAGCTCTCGTGGATGCCTCTTGGGCCGTCTTGGAGTCCTCTCGGGCCGTCTGGTAGCCCTCCCACTCGCTGTGGTCGCTGCCTCGCCCCGCCCCGCCACCGACGTGGCTGCTGCTGAACGCGTGCGAGCGCGCACCCCCGCCCTTCGCCGGGCCCGCGCGCAGGCCCAGCGGGAGGCGGTGGCAGTGTCCAGGCCTGCTGCGAAAGCGACCACCACCACCCAGAGCCAGAGAACACAGAGAAGCTTCAGCCCTGCGCTCTCCAGGACGCTGGACGTCTGGGGGGCCTCTCGTGGGCCCAATGCCGATCGCCGACATTCTCGGGAGATGCGCTCTGGCCAAGATTTCGGAGCGGATCTGGCCGCGGCGAAACAGGGAGCCTGGCGGGTGTGCCCGTGGCGAGCGAGCGAGCCATGGGTTTCCCCCCCCCCGGCGAGCCCGCGCCCGCCTTGTCGAGCGTGTCCGTGATGTCGTGGGAGGCCAAGCTCCAGAACGCCTCCATGAACGTCGGCATCGCGGCGGTGAGCGCTGCGGGAAGCTCCTCCTCCTCCAAGGAAGGGGGAGGAGGGGCGGCGGCGGCGACCGGCGATGGCGTCTTGCAGTGCATGGACAGAGAATTTCGAAAGCGAAACTGGCACCATCGACGTTTGATTTTTCTTTGGTCTTAGATGGCCACGTCCTTCGCGGCTACCATATTTATCCTACTGAGTTTGCACGTCGTGCGATACGTCCTGCGAACGAACAAACGAACGAAAAACTGCAAGCGAAAACCTCCTCCCTTTTTTTGGTGCTACGTCTGAAGTGTGGAGGGGCAAACAGGGGAAGATGGCGCACAGTCGAAGTTGTCCCGAGCTGGCAGCCGCCGCTCTGCGGCAGGCGGCGCTGGCACCAAATGGGACAAGTCCACGGCGACACCGACATCAAGTCCTGTCCAGAACAGGCAGAGCCTGCTCGCGCAAGCTGGAACTGGTACATCTCCGCCCGCCGCCCAGGGGACCGATCTTCCAGGACTGGAGGACTTTGGGGTTGAGCAGGGACCGACAGTCCGGGCGTCCCCAGAGGCCTACCACAAGATTTTCTCTGAACCTCATAATGTTCTAAAAACAAACATGAACACTCGGAGCTCTACCTCGGCAAGAGACATGCAGGCGCGAAGCGCATCCGATCAAACAACACTTTCCGACAGCAGCTTCGGCCTGAGTACAGGGAGCGAGCGAGCGGGCGCCGTGAATGAAAAGCGGCGGCGAACAGAGCTCGAGAGTGAACCCAAATGCCTCAAGCCCCTGATGGGTCAGAGGAAGTTTTTTTTTTTTTTTTTTTTTTTTTGTTTTTTTTTTTATATATATATATATATATATATATATATATATATAGATATATGTATATGTAAACCAGCGGCAGATGGGGAAGGCAGGAGGGTGCCGAAGAACTAGAAACCAGAGGGCCAGCGGCACTCCCCCGCTCCCTAGATCATTCACGCGCTGGCACTAAGCATGAGCCCTCGGAGCTCCAACGTGCCAAGGGGCATGCAAGCGCGAAGCGCATGCGATTAAACAACACTTTCCAGCCGCAGCTTCAGCCCGAGTACAGGGAACAAGCGAGCGGGCGCCGTGGCTGTAAAGCGGCGGCGAACGGAGCTCGAGAGCGAACCCAATGCCTCAAGCCCCTAATTACCCGCTTTCAAAAATCGTCTTGGCCCTGGCCACAAAGAGGCGCACCAGCGTCTGACAAAGCTGAACAGGATAAGGGCACGCTCTGGCGGTCCAAAAAACACAATTGTGGTCTTTTCCCTGTAAGCGGATATGCTTCTTGCCAGCGGCGCTGCATTTGCCCTGGATATTACTGCAGCGTTGCAACTCTGTCTGAGCAGGCAACTAGTTGAAGAGGACGAAGGTGGTTGCTTCGCGCCAAGGAACACCAGACTGACAGAAACCCACATGCACACACTCTGCGCTCGCAGCATCTGCGATCTAACGAAGCTCTGGGACTCGCCACAAACGCGAGAGGGGGGTTCTCGATCGAGAAAGGAATTCCAGCTAGCAGCGCGGCCTCCAAAAGACTCAAGAACATAATGCAGCAAACGATTAGCATCAACAAGCTTGCCGTGATCACTTTCACTCAGGTTTGGTAATCCCACACGTTGTTGTCATCTCTCAGCGGTGGCGGCCCCAGTCCGTCATGCTTGCGCGCCCGCGGCCAGGTCTTGCAGTCTAGACCGGCGCGGGCACCAGACACGCCGCCGCCCCAAATCCTGCGCTCCAGCCGGGCGACGACCCCGGGGTCACGAAGACGGCCGCGTCGCCGTCTTGGACGCCCCAGCCCTGCGACGCCCACCCAGCGGCTGCGACGGCGCTGGCCAAGCGGGCTGAGCCACGCATGAGCTCGAGGAAAAGCCTGGCTCTCGAAGCTGGCTGGGCGCCGCGCTCGAAGATGCGCGGCGGGGGCCCGCCGCCGCCGCCGCGGCCCTCGGGGCTCGGCGCGCCGCCTGGGGCCCCCGATGGGCCACTCGGGGCGCGGGCTGCCAGCTGAGATCGGACGCGAGGGCCCGCTCGAACTCGTCGGGGGGCGCGCCCACCGCGAGGCGGGCGTTCGCGCCCAGCTCCGCGAGATCCCGCTGCACGAGGGGGCGGGGGGTCAGGCGCCTCGCGGCGAGGGGGCCGCGCCCGTGGACCTCCGCGGAGTCGATCAGAATGCTGTCGCCGGCCAGGCCCACCTTCCCGCTTTCGCCCCTGGCCGAGGGGTGCAGGTTGGAGCCATGAGGCCTGCGCGAGCCGCTCGGGAGGAAGACGCCCTGCTCTCTGAGGCCGAGGGCCTCGCTTGGCCCGAGATAGGACCAGACCACCACAATCATGGTTCCCACCTTCGGGAAGCCGAGGTCGCAGGCGACGGCGCTGGCGATCAGCGCCGCAACCCGCCATGGCATCGGTGGCCGAGTTTGGCCTGGATCGAGCCTCTTCCAGCCGTGGAGTTCCCTCGAAAACCGCGGCAAGCGGGGGGTTCCCTTGCGGGAAAAGCCGGGGCATTCAACTGGTTCTACTGTCGTTATAACGTATGCTATATCTTCGATAACCATGGTTATAGCATAGGTTGTGGGCTCCTATCCACTTGGAGTTGCAGGTAAGTACTTGCATGTCAGCGGCAGCTTATGTCTAGATCGCATTCGTTGTCGGAGCTGGGAAACAATTGTGCGCGCTTCTTAGTGGCGCCCACTTTTGAAAACAACCGCTTGTTAACCACTTAGGGACCGACCGCTCGGAGTTAGCTTTGCTTCGCCTTATTTGGCTTACCCAGCTTTACTTAACTTTACTTAACTTTACTTGCGTTTGCTTAGCTCCAGCTTGCCCCCACCATTCCTGAGGCCTCTTGGTTCGAACTATTTTGCGGTTTCAGCGCCATGGAACCCCCGCGCAGGACACAAGGTTCGTGAGACGTTGCTGGGTCGAGATCGGCAAATGCATCGATGAGGGGCGCCGCTCGTTTGGCCCTTCCGCTTGGATTGGACGTCATCCACCAACAGTTATCCCGTTCGTCTGCAGACCATGCGAGGAACGTTTCGACCATCTATGGCCCACTGATCACGTCAATATATTTGCCTCTCGCGGCCGGGGGCACAATGTTGCGGGCAATCGCGAACCCAGTGCCGTTGCTTGCGTGGCTCTGCTCCAACTCAACCAGTGTCCCTTTATTCTTGCGCAAATATGTGCGCGAATTGGTTTCGAATATTGTTGCGTGGAACGACGAAGTTACGTCGGGCAACGTTCTCAGACCTGACGCAAGGAACCAGCGGCTGCGTTTGCATTTCGCAATCCTTGAGTTGCCGCCCTGGTGGGAGGCGCAGGATATCGGATGTTGCCCGATCGATTACATGTCGCAGGCGCAGTTCAAGAGCGTCAGCGGTGGGGCCAGCTGCATTTGTCGCATGATATTGAGACGCATGTTTCTGGGCGATGTCTGTGTCGCCGTGCGCAGCGATCCCGCGTGCCCCCGCAGTCGGGAGTGAGATCGCAATTAAATCTCAGTTCAAGTGCCGCGTTGCAAATGGGAAAACTGTCAAATAATGCTTGTTTAGCAAAGGGGCCTCCGGAACAAAACCTTGCATCCTACGCAAGGACGTTTGCAACGTCACCCCTGATCTTTATTTGTTGTTCACATCTATAAAAACGACCCGTGGCTTCGGCATTGCAAGAATGCCACCCCTATCGATTTCGAAAGCCACGGCGATGCGTCGATCTGGGACATGTCAGACCGCCTCGTGACTGCTCAAGCAGCGCTGGGGAAGGGCGCGTTTGCAGATTTGCAGCAACATCTCTGCATTAACTGGAACACTGACACGATTTTGTTTGTTGCAAGGCATTTTCAATCCAACTTCATGTTTTTTCTACGATTACATGCGCTGCTACTTGACGAGCGGAGGGGGTGCCTAGATCGTTCTGAACAGAATGCCTCTGCGCCTGGAGAAGGCGCGGCTGCCATTGAGCATGTTGGATGAATTCTAGACGCTTCGCGTATCCCCACCAGCCCATCCAGGAACGGCGCCCAGGCGAGTTGAGAAGTGATCAGAGAAAATGCGGGAGCAAAGAGGGGGACGGCCGAACCGCGTGAAGGAAAGAGGGGGCGGAGGAGAAAGTTGGATGGATGGCTGCGGGAGTAGGGAGAACGAGGACGAATAGGAGGAGGAGGTGGTGGAGGAGGAGGCGGAAGGGCAAAAGGCGGATGAAAAGGGATAGGAGGGGGAAGTAGGAGGAGGAGAGCAAGCAAAAGGGCCAGAGGTCTCCCTGTCCAGGCCAGGGGAGGTGGAGGGGGGAGGGGTGCACCACTCCCCGAAGGGGGAGAAGGAGGGGTGGAAGAGGAAACTCTCTAGACTCTAAACCACCTGCGCCCAGAGGGCTGGTGGGACTCGCGCTCCGCGTTCACGCTTGCAACACGTCGCAGAAATCGCCTCGTGATTTTCCAGCAGAGGGTCAACCGAGGCGGCGGCCATATGAAGGCGTTTGCATCGGAGACAACAGTGGGACTCTACGCGGTCGACATGCGTTGCTCCATGTCGCTAAATAAGAACGGCATCGACAAACCGCTTCCATATTGCGCCCATGGTTTGTCAAAGCGTGTGCGCATCTGGTCAAGCGGCGACAAGGCAGAGGAGGCTGTTTGCGAATTGTTGTGGGGAAGTGACATTTCTCAGGATCGCGTGATCTCACTGTCTGGCGACGGCGCAATCAAGGTTAAGACGCACCTTGCGTGCCACATTCCCGACACCATCGCTAAAGTAGGCTCGACTATATCAGGTTTCTCGTTTGAAAAATGGGCGCGGTTGGTAAAGCAGGCGGCAAGTAATTTCCCGAACGGCGCTGGCTTTGATAGGAAAATGATTGAACGCATGCTGCTTCATTTTGAAAACGCACTAGCATCAGACGCGTGTGCTGAGAACTCTTTGCTCGGGACACCCAAGAACGCCAATTGTTGGTTGGTGTATTTTCAACTAGTTGCATCGATTTCTCTCGCGTCAGGGTACAA